CAGATCAAGAGGTCCATTGCGTGCCAGGTGAGATCACCTCTCCCGTCACCCCGGGGATTGTACCCCGATGACAAAGAAGGTGGAACACATCGTCTCCAAACTCTCCTTTCCTGGCCAGTGCACCAAGTATGTAGCAGGAAGACAGAGAGGCCGTGGCACCAAGGCTATTATAGGAAGCAATTTTATTATATTAGCACCGGCGCGACTCAGCGAGCTAATGCTCTAAGGCTGAGCATCCCGGGGAGAGAGGAGAGGGGTCTTATACCTTAGTTTAGGTTGGGGGGGTCGTGTTGAGTGATTACACATTTTCTTTTGAATTCGCAAGGTTGTACTCAGCAAAATCTGATTTTCAAAGAACTGATCGTCTCCAGGAAATGCATAGCAAGTAGGGGTTGTAAACTGATAACTTCAAAAAGAGAGGATTTGGGTAAGTTTGTGAATTGGTCACTCTTTTGCATTTCCAGGAAAGCCAGTCAGTCTTTGGCTATTTGGTTTTCTCAAGCAAAACCAGTGTGGCGGGTTTTCAGAGCTTGCGATTGATTTTTGAAAGGAATCCTTTTAACTGCTTTCAGCCCCCTTTCTGCCACAGCCTAGAATTAATTTTTATACCCTAGCTAGTTTTTCATGAGGTTTTTAACTTAGGTTCTTAGAGGCCTCAGAGGTACTACTCACTAGAGATTTGAGATCCTCCCAATTCATTATAAAAGTCTAAAGCTCCTCCTCTTTTTTTTTTTTTTCTTTTTTGAGTCAGGGTCTCACTTTGTCACCCATGCTAGAGAGCAGTGAGGTGATCACAGCTTACCACAGCCTTGACCTCCAGGGCTCAGGTAATCCTTCCGCCTCACTCCTGAGTGGCTGGGACTACAGATGCATGCCATTGTGCCTAGCTAATGGTTTGCTTTTTTGTTTGTTTGTTTATTTTTTGTAGAGATGAGGTCTTGCTATGTTGCTTTAGGGTGGTCTAAAACTGCTGGGCTCAAGCAGTCCTCCCGCCTTAGCCTCCCAAAGATTATAGGCATGAGCCACTGCTCCCAGACAGAAATTCTTTTTTTTTTTTTTTTTTTTTTTGAGTTGGAGTTTTACTCTGTTTCCCAAGTTAGAGTGCAGTACAGCCGTTGTAGCCTCAACCTGCTGGGCTCAAGTGATCCTTCCGCCTCAGCCTTCCAAGTAGCTGGATCCATAGGCAGGTGCTCATGCCCAGCTAGTTTTTTTTATTTATTGTAGATACAAGGTCTTACCAAGCTGCCCACCCTGGTCTCAAATCCCTGGGCTCAGGCAATCTTCTCGCCTCTGCCTCCCAAAGTCACTTCCGCCTCCCAAAGTCACCTCAACCTCCCAAAATGCTGGGATTGTGGACATGAACCACTTTGCCCAGCCAGAAGTTCTTTTTTTTTTTTTGAGTTGGAGTCTCACTCCATTGCCCAGACTGGAGTGCAATGGCCGCTCCTGGCCACCGCAGCCTCGAACTGCTGGGCTCCAGTGATCCTTCCACCTCAGCCTTCCAAGTAGCTGGAACTACAGGCGCACGCTACCACACCTGGCTCATTTTTGATTTATTGTGGAGATGAGGTCTCGCCAAGTTGCCCAGGCAGGTCTCGAACCCGCGGGCTCAGGCAATTCGCTCACCTCAGCCTCCCAAGGCATGGTATTACAGGCTGAGCCACCGAGCTCGGCTCAGAAATTCTTAAAAGAATACATTCAGCTACATAAGAGAGCTGTTTTTGTCACCATTTAAGGAACTTTTCACATGCACTTGATTGAATTCTATATAAACTAGGGCTAACAGGCAAACACTCTGAGCATATTACAAATTAATCAAATCTGTTCTTGAGTGCACCATGCCAAACTAGTTTTTTTTCTTTTTTTGAGTTGGCAATCCTTCCACCTCAGCCTTCCAAGTAGTCAGAACTACAGGCACGTGCTACCATGCCTGGCTAATTTTTGGTTTATTGTGAAGACAATTCTCACCAAGTTGCCTCGGCTGGTCTCAAACCTATTGTTAAACCCAGGATTCAAATCCGAGAGAGACCACAAAGAGCCAGCTCTGATGCAAACACACGAGGGTCTTTATTCAGGCTTGAGTCTGGGCTCACGTATGAAGCCGGCAGTGGCTTCAGGGACGAGAGCCCAGATCCAGTATGACAAGAAGTTTTTTATGTAGAATTACAGAGGGAGGGGAAAGAACTTTAAACTTGTTTCTACATGATTGGATAATTTCTCTTAATGGGTATGGGGGCACTTGGGATTGGGAGGTTTTATTTTCTGGTCTGTGCAGGCTCTAGCCACCTGTGATTAACGGGGAACTGCTAAATGGGCAGAGTGGAATGTCAGATAAGCTAGGTTTAGCAAGCAGGCAGGAGGTTAAACGACGCAGAACCGGGGGTGGGGGGGTGGGGGGGTTGGCTGGTGCCACCAGTCTACTGTTATCTAAGCAAAGGAATGGCCAGGAGGGGCTTATTGCTTAACATTTACACACTGCTAGCAGCAGTTGCGGAAGCAATCGGTTATTTTATGGGACAAACAAAAATTAAACTTAACAAAGTTTTAAGTACAAACACTGCAAACAAATACAGTGAACGTGGGGTAGGAATTCATATAGTAATAGTTCTCTTAGAGATTTTTTTTGAATCTCTTGGGTCTCTCACTATGGTCTCAGGCAGTCCACTCGCCTCAGCTTCCCAAAGTGCTGGGATTACCGGCTGAGCCACCGAGCCCAGCCTTTTTTCCCTGTTGTTACCAAGGCTGGTCTTGGACTCCAGGGCTCAGGTAATCCTCCTGCCTCAATCTCCCAGAGTGCTGAGCTTATGTGTGAGCCACTGAGCCTGAAAGCTCCTCCTTTTGACTGCATTGGAAAACTGGCTCCTTTGGTTTTGCTACAGTGGTGCTAAAGGAACTTAAAATGTATCCTATTTTGTCAGCACATAAAACATTAATTAAAACTTCTCATTTGGAAGATTTACAGGACACAGAAGCTGCTGGCTGCCTCAGGGCTGCTGCAGCTGATTATATGTAGATCCAGCAGAGAACTGTTGTGGGTAGAAATGTATCCTTCAAGAAGATGTTGACTTCAGTCCTGACCCCCAGGAACTGGGAATATGAGCTTATTTGGAAATAGGTTTTTGGAGGTGGAAGGATTGCGGGAGCCCAGCAGGCAAGGCTGCAGTGGCCGGGAGCGGCCACTGCATGCCAGTCTGGGTGACCGAGTGAGACTCCGACTCAAAAAAAAAGATGAAGTCATTACAGAGTGGACTCTAATTCAGTATGACTGATGGCCTTACAAAAAGGGGAAATTTGGACATAAAGGGAAGAGGATGTATGGGAGGGATCCAAAAAACTTAGAATTTACTTATAAAATCTTGTATATTTATTCTTACATGCTTAAGTTTCCACCAAAGCACACTGTTTGATGCAACACACTTTTCGAGATGCTTTTTCCACTGCTCAAAACAGTTTTGAACTCAACAATTTTGATGCCTTTTAGTACTTCAGCCATTTTTGTTTCACCTCTTCCACATCGGCAAAACGTTTCCCTTTGAGGACCTTTTTCAGGAGGGAAACCAGAAAAAGTCGCTCGAAGTGAGATCACGTGACTAGCAAGGGTAGGGCATGAGGACCATGCCATTTTTGGCCCAACACTGCTGTACACTCAGCTTGGTGTGGGCAGGTACATTCAGAAATCACCCATCATGAAATGGGTAAATGCATTGAAAGAATCTCCAAAAAAAAAATGTGCTGAAGCCAAACTCAGCCTGTTGCAACAATGCTAGCTGGTACACTGATGCCTGTGGGTTTCTCAAACACTTACCTAGCAGAAGCAGCCTGTACTACCAGGGGCTCACCCTCCAAAAAATAATCCCAGTTGTTTTTGAGTCCCCCTTGTAAAGATGTGGACAGAATACCGTGTATGAGCCAGCATCTGAGGCTGCTAGATGCTGGGAGAGAGGCATGCCACGGATTCTCTTGACTTCAGACTTCTGTCTAGCCTCTAGAACTGTGAGACAATTGCTGTCATTTAAGCCACCCAGTTTATGGTACTTCGTTATGACAGCCCCTAGAAACTAGTACTACTACAGAGATTTTTTTCCCCTAATTTTGGCAAGCAGTTATGGCTTCCTGCCAAGCTATGCATCCATGAGACTACATGCTTACCAAGGAAGCAACTTTCCTAAGGGATACCAGTTAGCAGCCTAAACTTTCTTCTGAGAAACCCAGCCTACTCTTTGTGACAAACTGCTGAAGACCACTACTGCTATGGCCTAACGTTTGTATTCCCTCAAAATCCCTGTTGAAACCTAACCACCACCGTGATGGTATTTGGAGGCTGGTTCTTTGGGAGGGCTCAGAATGGGATTTGTGCTGCTTGTCAAAGTGGCCACAGAGTTGCCTTGCCTCTTCCACCTTGTGAGGACACAGCAAGCAGACCCTCGCCAGACGCCCGGTCTGCCAGTGCTGTGGCCTTGGACTCTCCAGCCTCCAGAACTGTGAGAAATGTCTGTTGTTTATAAGCTGCTCATTCTATGTCATTTGGCTACAACACCTCAGACAGACTTAAGGGAGCTATCAAATGGTTTCATTGTGTCTGATTGGTTGAGGTATAACATACTGTGTTAGCAGTATGCTAGAGAAAGGTTCTTGGGCACATGACCCTTTCAAATAAATTAACTAAAATATTCAGTTCCAACTTGGAAATGAAAATTTCCTGAAATTTTATTTTTAGGAAATTAGAACAGCCCTTAAAACCATTTCTGCATGAGATTCTGTGTATCAAAGTCAGAAAATGTAGTAGTTTTCCTTAAAATGTCATTTACCTTTTTTCATCCTACTTAAACACTGCATACATTTTTCTTCTCAGAGGTGTGAGGTTATCAGATGGCAAGGGGCTTACGGTCTAGAGAAATTACACTAGTGAAAAGCTGTCAGTTTTTCTTCAGGCATGAGTTACAGGGGTCTTGAGTTACAGGTGTTTCGACTGGGAGGAGAAGTAACTACCGAAGACCAAAGAGCGTATCTTCAACTTTATTTTTTTGAATCTACAATTGCAAAGTGGTTCTTGGTCACTGCTCATCCCACTGCACAGTATATTCGTACACATTTAGAAAACTCAGGAAAATGTTCTTTAAAAATTATACTATAATAGAATTTACCCTATTTTACTGGCCAAGCATGAAAAATACATCCCAAATGCACCTTTCTCTAATTTTCTTGTGAATCTTATTGACATTACTTTTATAGCTATCTGTGTATGCACAGAATCGAGGGCATTGTTTTACTTCAGTAACCTTTCTTACAAAGTTAGGAAGTTTAAAAGTGTATTTTGTCTCGAGGACTTAAAATTTGTAAACACCAAGAAACAAATCATACCCTCCAAACCTCCGGCTGCTGTTTGCTCGCTGTTTTTAAAGTGAAGGCTCCCATTTCTGGTTGAAGACTTGGGCAAAGCTGAGCAGGCTCACACAGCCCAACGACCACCTTAGCAAGCATTTGTTCTTTAGGCCTAAATCATTTCATCAGGACGAGTATATCCTGAGCTCCCACTCCGAGAGGCCCATGCCCCGTCAAGAGTTCTCATAATCAGCCATGAGAATGATTTACAATGACCGTTCACATCTGACGGCAAAATGACTGCCAACGCCTTATGCAAACCACCTAAAATCAATTCTTGTATTCTGAAACTGGATTCTCCATAGCTGGGTGCCTGCGGTATGACTAGAATAAGTGCATTGCTGGCATCTTGCTGGAAAGGATGGATGCAGGCTTAGCATGACAGCTCATCTTCGAAGGTTCTCTTCTCATGATGCCATCATGTTAGGCAGAAGAAAGAGGACAGCAGCAGACCTTATGGACTCTCATAAAATTAAAGATAGCTAGTGCCATGTGTCAGGCACCCTGCTACTCGCAAGTCTCTCTAACACGGCTAAATGCCCTTTAGCACTTTCTCTTCTATAATGCAAATGGGTCCTGGTGTCTTGTTCTTCCCTTTGTCCCCTGTCCCTTGACTGCCTTTTGTAGGCTTTTCTCATCATCTGCTGGAGTGTGTTCCCTGACTCATCAAAGGCACCTGGGTGAGGCCAGCGAGCATGGCAAACTGTGTCTAGCCCATGAGACAGGCTATGACAACAGGAGCGACAAAGGAAAAAGATGGAGACCAGCAACAAAGCAGAGGCTTTTAGCTCACAGTGTGGGGCTGCTGACGGTTAGGAAGAGAGGCGCTGCTAAGCAGCCTCCTGAGCAGCACCTCGATGGAGCCGAAGCAGTGCCGCACTTGAGTTCAAAAGACCCGGGCCTTGGTCCTGGGTCTGTCGCTTTGCGTTGTGTGGCCTTTCACAAGCCAGCCCTTCCTGAGCTTCAGGCTCTCCATCTGTCAAACGGGAAGAACGACATCTGTCTTTCCCACCAGAGAAGACTGTGGGCATCAGATGTGTTTACAACTCCCTGGTAAATGACAACATTGTATGGAAATACAAGTTGTTTGATGGATTAGAAATGGATATGCAGGAGGAAAGTATCTATGGCTTCACGTTGTTAGCAAAATCTGATTATAATTTGAATATGTAAACTAAGTCTAGTTGGCTTTCTCCTCATAGAGCCCTAGCTCATCTTTTTTTGGGTCTGCTCTGCTGAGTTGCTGACCCTGAGGAATAACGTCCGTCTCTTCCTTTTACAGTGCTCTGTACTTCTGCTTCCAGGAGCCTGCGAGGACGGTCCGTGCCGTCGCAAAGCAGGTCCCAAAAGGCAGAGTTGAGTCTCGCTCGAGAAAAATGTCGTTTCACACCTTGATGGCGAGGAGGGTTTTTGGCTACTGGTACAAAATAGAGATCACTGCCCCAAACGAAAGAAAGATTAAGGAAATGCTTCCATGGCAACAACTTCCTGCAGAAAACTGGATCCGGCCTTCAATCGCTGGATACAATACTTTCATTTTTGAGATGTATGTAGAAACCACGTTGATATCTTGGTCACCTAGGAAAGGACACACGTTATTTTAGCTGCAGAAAACGTAGTTATCCACTAACAGTCAGAGAGGGGGAAAACCCTAACATCCTTTGTAATTATAAAAGGGAGGATATTCCTTTCATAAGGAAGGGTAAGTGTCACAGAAGACAAGAACACTGGTGGTCGTAAGTGCAAAGAGTTGGATTGCTTTTTCACGGTCCAGGTGTGAAATGTGCCTGTGGTTTTGTATTGGGAAACCGGGGGGAGTGGAGTTGCCTCCATTCTGAGATGACTCTGGAAAGAAGCTGCTGACGTCGCAGCCTTTGAGCCACTCCAGGGCACGGACATCAGGGACCTGGGCCAAGAGCAACGAGTTGGGAGGCGAACGTGGCTTCCTTTTGTTTGCTTGCTCAAGAACTATTCTCACATGCTGGATGGTGGGGCAACCAGGTTTCTTTTCCAAAAGCGAGGCGGGGTGATCAAGACATACTAATGGCCTACAGCTACAACAAACCTATGGAGACCTGACAGAATTCTGTTTTATTTTATTATTTTATTTTGATTTTTTTGAGTTGGAGTCTCAGTCGCCCAGACTGGAGTGCAGTGGCATGCTCACGGCCACCGCAGCCTCAGCCTGCTGGGCTCCAGTGATCCTTCCGCCTCAGCCTTCCAAGTAGCCAGAACAACTGGCACATGTCATCACGCCCGGCTAATTTTTTGATTTATCGTAGAGATGAGGTCTCGCCAAGTCACCCGGGCTGGTCTCAAACCCGTGGGCTCAGGCAATCCTCTCACCTCGGCTGGGATTATAGGCGTGAGCCACTGCACCCGGGCTGGAATTCAGTTTTAAAAATATCACTTCAATACTTGAGAAAAGACCTCTTCTCTCCATAGTGGTTCTCACCCCTGGGTGCATATTAGAATCACTGGAAGAGACTTTATATCCAACCCAATTAAATTAGACTCTCTTAAGAGCAGGGGCCAAGGCATCGGTCTTTAATTTAAAAGGCTCACCATGCGGGGCTCGGTGTAATCCCAGCACTTTGGGAGGCCGAGGCGAGTGGATTGCCTGAGCCCGCGGGTTCAAGAACAGCCTGGGCAACTTGGCAAGACCTCGTCTCTACAATAAAATAAAAAATTAGCATGGTAGCTGCATCTGTAGTTCCAGCTACTTGGAAGGCTGAGGTGGAAGGATCGCCGGAGCCCAGCAGGTTGAGGCTGGGGTGGTGGTGAGTGTGCCACTGCACTCCAGCCTGGGAGACAGAGTGAGACTCCAACTCAAAAAATAAAACAAAGCTCACCGGGTGATTATAATGCATCGCCAGGGCTAAAAACCCTTAGGTCCAGACTTCTGCATGAACTGCTTTCCTCTTACACCATGAGTCTGGGCTTGAGTGATGCCCAGCCGTCAGCCTCATTGTCTCACGGGGGCCTTGAAGCCTGCCTTTCCATCTGCTATCAATGAATGGACAGAAGTAGCCAGCACCTGTCCTCCTTTGGCCTGGCTCTGTCCTCCACCCTCCTTGGCAAATGCAGCCAAAATGGCAGACCCACCAGGATAAGGCTGAGGAGGCTGAGTGTCCTGGAGATGCTGAGAAGCCGTGTGTCTTGGAAGCCTCCTGGCTTCCCCCAGGAAGAGGAAGGGGGAGTGTGTTCTATAACAGAGACTCTGTGCACATGAGGTGGCTCTCAGCTACGTTTCTAGAAGTGAGGCTGGCCTGTGACGGCCCTCGGTGCTGCCGGAAACATCTACTGATGTCAAGTATGACTGTTTGTATCATTTGTTCCACCAGCCCCACTGGATGTGCTGGGGGAGTGCTCATCCCACCATCCACACCCGCCTGACCTACTCACACGGAAAGCTTCTTCAAGAAAGAAAATCGAGATGATTTAATAGGATGGTTTTCCACGTCCAAGCCAAAGTTCCAGAGTTGGGACTGTTCTACGAATGCACAACTTACAGGCATTTTGTAACTTCAGCAGCTGCTTAGATGTCGTTAAAAGCACTTTAAAACATGCTTGATTTGGGGAAAAATGGGTTTTCCCTGGGTTGAATGGAGACGGATATGGGCTGGGGGCGTGACACGTTCCTCAGGGCTGTGCTGCTGTTCGCCGACCCGCAGAGCAGGAGGGAGCCAGCAGCCCAGGGGTGAGATCTGGCTTTGCCCTCCCAGCGCCAGGAGCTGCTCCCCTTCTCGGCCCTGGCCTGCGGTCCTTGAGTCCCTTTGGAATGAGGAAGGGAGGAGATGCTTGTGCTCACCGGAGTCGTGTTTTAATAATTCATCTTTTATCATCTGGTATCCATCTCCACCTTTGGCCAGGAAGCTCGGGAGGATCACCTTATACACCTCATCCATTCTGAGAGGGCTGTAGCTGGGGACTCGACACTTAGTGCAAAGAACATCTAGCTTGACCACTCTGTCCCCGGGTTTTCGGGAAAGATCATACACCACATGGATTCCTAGAAAAGAAACGCATATCTTTTTACCAGATCCAAAGGGAGAGTTCTGCTTCTAAGAAAGAGATTTTGGCCGAGATTTTGGCCAAGATCTAGAATCGGGCACAGAGCTACGGTTTTCCTTAGTTTAAGCATGAGTGAAATTTCATGAGAGAACTGCGGTGACATGGCTGCGGCCCTTTCTCGACTAGCTTTATCCTCGAGTCCTTCCAGGAGACTCAAGAACTGCTGGAAGGAAAACCAGCTGGGGAACAGAAGGGACAAAGATTGACTCCAGGGAGAAACCACACCTTTCATTGTTTTCCTTTACAATCTTGAAATAACTGGTCTAGTAACTGGGTCGATGGCTTTAGAAAATGAGAAACAGATGAGAGGCAGAGAGCATTTTACAATTTTGAAGATTACCAAGTGGATCGGGCAATTTTCTTTTTTTTTTTTTTTTTTTTTTTTTGAGTTGGAGTCTCACTCTGTCGCCCAGACTGGAGTGCAGCGGCCGCTCCCGGCCACCGCAGCCTCGACCTGCTGGGCTCCGGCGATCCTTCCGCCTCAGCCTTCCGAGTAGCCGGAATTACAGGCGTGCGCTACCACGCCTGGCTGATTTTTTGATTTATGGTAGAGATGAGGTCTTGCTGCCCAGGCGGGTCTCGAACCCGCGGGCTCAGGCAATTCACTCATCTCAACCTCCCAAAGGCGCGGGATTACAGGCTGAGCCACCGAGCCCGCCTGACCGGGCAATTTTCACAAAGCATATAGCTCCCCAACACTTTGTAGGAGCATCAAAACACTGCTGTTTCCTTGACTCCCTCCTGTTTTCCGAGAATGGCCGGGTCACCTACGTGCGGCAGACCGGGACCACCCCACTGCCTTCTGCAGCCATCCAGTCTCAACCCGGAGGCGCTGAGATGGAGGATTTGGCACAGCAATTACACCCGTCAAGTGGGGCCACAAGCTCCAGGCCAAAAAGAGGCCAGAACATGGCTTCTAAGTAAAGTCAGATTATTAGTTAAGAGCTTAATTCACCAGACGATGGAAGTAATTATTGACAAAAGCATTTCAGAAGCCCTTGGCAATCTGGGAAGCATTTACTTCCATTCGGTCTTCACTGCAATTCATGAGAGAAGCATGACAGGTCTTCTCACTGTGTTCAGATAGGTTGTGGACTAGACCCAGGTCACAGTGAGACGAGAACCAGCACCCCTTCAAACCATGGCATGGTTTCAGGTAATTACAAATGGAAGAGAGGAGAGGATTTTTTTTTTTTTTAAGAAAAATACTGAATGCTTAAACAGCTGAGATTGTGATAGAGGCTGGGCTCGGTGGCTCAGCCTGTAATCCCAGCACTTTGGGAGGCCGAGGTGAGTGGATTGCCTGAGCCCGTGGATTGCCTGAGCCCGTGGATTCGAGACCCGCCCAGGTCACTTGGCGAGACCTCATCTCTACAATAAATCAAAAATTAGCCGAGCGTGGTAGTTCCAGCTAATTTTTGATCCTTCCAGGCGGAAGGATCTCCGGAGCCCAGCAGGTCGAGGCTATGGTGGCCGGGAGCAGCCACTGCATTCCAGCCTGGGCGACAGAGTGAGACTCCAACTCAAAAAAAAAAAAAACATTGTAATAGAAACTAGACCTCAAGGCAGCTGGTCTGCTTAGCGTTTAGAGGGCCCATCTGATGTCCCGGTCAAACTTGGCAGATTCTGCCCACTGCCAGAGCTTTGGGGCTTGGACCCCAAACTAATCTCAGTGGCTCTGGGAGACCGCAGCCATTGAAAGATGATGCATTGGTACTGGGTGGGAGAAAGCCCAAAGAAGCCTGGCCACGGAGGTCCTGGTGAGCCAACCGGCTGAGCCAACCAGCAGGAAATCTCCCATCACCTTGGACGGGCCATGCCTGCCGCTGGGTGACTTACCGCCCACCTGCAGGAACTCCCCCGTGGACTGGCCATAGCGGTGCACGCTGTGCTCGAAGACCTTCTTCAGGGTGGAGCCTTTTAACTGGACCAGGTCAAACGTGCCTCCAAAGGGCAACACAGCAGCCAGGTTCTCCCAGGTAATTACGCCTGAGGGTAGTCACAGAGGAGGCAAGAAGAAAAATGCCTGGAGAAAATGTCCACCCCCAGACCAGTTTCCCTCCGAGCCGGGGGAAGAGGCGAGGAGGAGGCCGAGAGAGCAGCATCAGCTCTGTCTCTGTGGTTCCTGACCTGCGGAGGGAACGGATTCCGGAGGCCTCTGGCCCTGCCCTCCACCCGGGGACAAGATGGAGGGTGCTCACGTGTGGCCAAGCCTCAAAAGTCCAGGCAGCCTTGGATCTCCTGGCTGGGGGCTGGATGCCCAGTAGGTTGTCTGGCGTTGCTCACGTCCTCCAGACAAGTGGTGGGTCCCTGCCGTCTGACTTTGAGATGAGTCAGGGGCCTTGTACTGAGGCTGACTGGTTCTGACACTCTATCAGGGAGGTCTGCAAGAGGTCTGGAATTCTGTTTAGTGGATTTATTTTACCCCATATAATCTTACGTCTCTAAGAAGATGCGAAAATAATGTTTTGGCTGGAGGCCATGGCTCACACTTATCCTCCCCGCACTTTGGGAGGCCGAAGTGAGAGAATCGCTTGAGCCCAGGAGTTCGAAAGCAGCCTGGGCAACACAGCAAGCCTTGTTTCTACCAAAAAAATCAGAAAATTAGCTGGGCTTGGTGGCCCACATGCGTAGACCTAGCCACTTGGAAGGCTGAGGCAGGAGGATCGCTTGAACCCAGGAGTTCAAGGCTGCTGTGAGCCATGATTGTTGCCACTGCATTGCAGCCTGGTGACAGAGCAAGATCCTGACTCTCAAAAAAAAAACAAAAACAAAAAGCAACATTTTAATTCAGTGGTACATGTTTTCTGACACTGTTTCCAGTGATTTTGTCTATTTTTTTTTCAGATACTGAGGTGGTATTTTACATAAGTCACCCATGATTATTATTTAGCCTTGTGAGTCAGGAACTTTTTTTTTTTGAGATGGAGTCTCCCTCTGTCACCCACACTGGAGTGCAGTGGCCGCTCCCGGCCACGGCAGCCTCGACCCGCTGGGCTCCGGCGATCCTCCTGCCTCAGCCTTCCAAGGAGCTGGAACTACAGGCGCGTGCTACCACGCCCGGCTGATTTTTTGATTTATTGTAGAGATGAGGTCTCGCCAAGTGGTCCAGGCGGGTCTCGAACCCGCGGGCTCAGGCGATCCACTCACCTCAGCCTCCCAAAGGCGCGGGATGACAGGCTGAGCCACCGAGCCCGGCTGAGCCAGGAACTTCTACCAAGCTTGGCCTCCACTAACCCCAGTGCCTCTTCCGTGTGTGTCCTTCGGGCTAGGTCCCGGACCTGAGCCACGGCGAGCCTTCGCTTAAAGGACTGGCGTTCTGGGACGTGGCCGGCAGCAGAGCGGAGCTGGGGCTGTGCGTGGGTGAGGAGGGCAAGAGCTCCAGCGGGAGGCAGGTCAGGGGCCGGGCCGGGCCGGGCGGGCCTACCGTTGTTGCGCTCATCGATGGGCGACCGGATGCCGCCTCCGTTTAAAATGCACATGGACACGTGGTTCCAGAACATTTCGTCCGGGTGTCTGAGGTTGTTGTTGATCTGCAACAGTAGCACAGGGTTCTGTGAGCGATCCCGGGTTTTCTTCCTCAGGAGCTGCTCCGGGAACCTTGCTAGCTCTTCTGAGGAAACACAGCCACTCCCTTGCTGCGACGTTTCCAGAGATTTCTCGATGACTGTCAGTCAGAACTGGTTTTATGCTCTTGAGAAAATGTCCACCCCCAAACCTGTTCCCCTCAGAGCTGGGGGAAGAGGTGAGGAGGCCGTGGGAGCAGGCTCAGCTGTGTCTCCACGGGGCCTGACCCTTATGGGGCAATGGATGGGATGGGGTGGCTCGCGCCCGTAATGCCAGCGAGTTGAGAGGAATGCTTGGGCCCAGGAGTTTGAGACCAGCCTCAGCAACATAGTGAGACCTTGTCTCTACCAAAGATGAAATAATAAGCTGGGCGCGGTGGCAGGCCTGTAGTGCCAGCTCCTCAGGGGGCTGAGGGGGCAGGATCTCCTGAGCGCAGCAGGTCGAGGCTGCAGTGAGCTGTGATCATGTCACCGCACGCCGGCCTGAGAGACAGAGGGAGACCCTGACTCAAAACAAACACGCCCACTGGTTTTATGCTCTGAGAAGCAAAAATGTGGTATCGTGACCAGTCCTGTGTCAGAAACAAGGAGCTCTCAGCCCCTTCTGGGTATTCTCAGGCTACCTGGCCTTAGCAAAATGGTCTCTCGCTGGTAGCCCTAGGGTCAGGACTGGGCCACCTGCATAGGCTGGCCTGAGGCCGCATTCCTGCACAAGCTCTTTGGTGCCTGGCCTGAGGCCGGGGCCCTGAAGTCTGCTCAGCAGTAGACCTCATGCCAATGAGACATGGCCTCCAAGTCCATGTCCCCAGCCAATTCGCAAGCTGGCAGTTTTGGACACACAAAGACAGCTTCCTGCAATGGAAGAATCACATCCATTCTTACTTTTGCAAAACATATGTTTAGTTTTGAGAAACAAAATAGGCCTGTAATTCCAGCATTTGGGGAGGCCGAGGCTAGAGGATTGCTTGAGGCCAGGAGTTCAAGACCAGCCTGGGAAACAGTGTGAGACCCCAGTCTCTAGAAAAATGTTTTTAAAAAATTAGCTGGGCACGGTGGCGCAAACCTGTATCCCAGCTACTCAGGAGGCTGAGGTGAGAGGATTGCTTGAGCCCAGGAGTTTAAGGCTGCAGTGAACTATGACTGCACCACTGCTCTTCAGTCTGGGTGACAGAGCAAGACTGTCTAAAAAGAAACAAAAAGGAAAAAGAAATAAAATGGAAACATTCTCATTTGAAAAAAAAGCAGTGCAAAAAACCAAAAGTTTTCTTAGATTGCTTTTTACCCTCTGTAACAGAGAGAGGTAAGCACTGCCAACAGCCTAGGGGTTCCCTTCCAGACCTTTCTCTAGACATTCACACATGGGACACTCTTTCACAATTCTCACAGGCTTGACTGCACGAGGCTGGAGGGCCTGGGGAGCATGATGGCTGGCATTCCCTTGGCCAGCATTGACTGAGTGTGGCTGCGTCCACATGCTGACCACGGCAGTGGAATGCCTGACTCCCCTGGGTGCGGCTGTGAGCCCGCGGAAGCGGAGAGTCTGACATGGCAGACCACTCAGTATGGCCGCCGGGGAGCGACCCCGGCCAGCATGCAGACAGGCGGATTGGGGGGTGCTTTCCACGGGTGACCTTGCTCAGCCACAGGACTCCTCACCACACGATAACGGCGTTTGCTCGTTCTAGGCCCGTGCCGGAGGCTCCGGCCCCAAAGGCCCAGGTTCTCTGGAGCCCCGAGGACAGGCCAGGGAAAGGCCATCCGGCCAAGTTAGGACCCAGCAGACAGGCTTTATCTGCCACATCGACATCTTCAGGGTAGAGCCTGTCTGCGCAACAGGCCATCTCACGAAAGGCAAGCAACATGCAAAATGCAGACATCTAAGAGAAATACCTTCCAAAAAAGGTTTTCATCTTGTCACGCAGCTAAGTGGTGGCCACCCGACTGAGGGACTCAGCATGAAACCCCCCGAGCTCTGCCTGGGCACTGGTGTTTTAAGAGCCCCCGACTCTGCAGCTCCCAGCGTGTCCCTCCTCGTGTCCATCCTTCCCCCCGGCTGAGGCCGCCCCCCCCGACTCCTGCGGGCGACATACCATGGCATCACAAATCAGGTTGCCCATATTGCATTCTTGAAAGCGGCACGACTGAGCGGAGCCATTCAGGTAGACAATAGTTCTCCCCAGTTCCTGGGTGGAGTAGTTATCTAATTTTATCCTCCATTTGTTTATGTCTGCTTTGATGCCCGGATCTAGAATAAAAAGAAAGAAAGGAAGAAGGGAGAAAGGGAGCCTACGGTTAAAGCAGATCTCACGTCGGGCGGGGGTCTAGAGAAGGAATCGACACCATCTGGCTTCCCTGCTGTGAGTTCATCGTCTTTGCCATGTTTGTGGGCATTCTGGTTTTGACCATGGAATCTCCTGAGAAGCTCTGTTTTGCTTCCTGCTGATGGGTCGGGGAGGCCCACTGATTTCAGGACAGGCCGGACATCTGACTGTCGACACGTCCGGTCTGTAGGAGTCACTCACTGGCCCACCTGGGACAGCAGTTGTGGGCAATGAGTGACTCATACGGGCACAGGGGTGGGTGCAGGGGCGCCCTGAGGGGCTGCTGGGCTGTGCGGAGCCCCGCCCCCCTGGCTGCCGAGAGGCCCATGCTGTCACCACAGGCTCTCCCGAGTGGCACTTCCTGCCTTCATCCTGCGTGATATGGCAGGGGACAGGTGGGCAGAGGAGTGTGTCCGTGCATACTATATTTTCATGAGTGATGCAAAAACGAATTTTTACCGGGAGCCCCAGACATAAAAGAAAGCGATTCCCTCATTGGATAAATACAGAAACCGAGGCCCACAGACTGGGAACTTGCCCAAGGCACCCCGTCCCCGCGGTGGCAGGGGTGGGGCGGAGTTTCAGCCCCGCCCTGCCCAGTTTGAACCCTTTTGTTTCAGGAACCACCTCTCCCGTGGACGCGAGTTGAGAGTGGCTCTTGCACATCAGGATGAGTCTTCTAAAAGGCAGAAGCAGCAGTGATGCCCAAAGTCTGGTGCTGAGAAGACGTGGAAAAGCAAACGGGGCTTTTGGCATTTGGTTAAGTTTCAAATCTCCTTATCCATGAAGGGGGTGAACTCAAGGGAGAAGCTAAATTCTTCAACAGTATTACAGTCTTTTCCTGACACATTTTAAAAAAAGGACGGGGGCCATCTGGCTTGGGGGTTGGTGAAACATTCCCGGGAATGCCGCATACCTTCAGGAATGCTGCTGTTCAGGAGAATGGGATTCCCGTGCGACGTGATGACGTTTCCTTTGTCGTCAAACTCAACCTTCAGGTAGCCGAGGTATTTGCCGAAAGCATAGGCCTGGACCACAGGAACCTTCCGCCCGTCGTCGGAGGTGACGAGGAACGGGTACTTCCCGGCAGGCACCTCCTTGGAGGGCGGGTCGCCTGGAACGAAAGAGCCAGAGCTGGTCAGCGCGGCCCTCGCGGCCACTGGCCGGGGCAGTGCTGGATGGACGACTCGCTGGCAGCTGCCAGGAAGGGCTGAGCTTCCATGCCTCCTCCCATGCTTCACTCAGCAGATTTAGCAGGCTCTTCCCAAGTCCAGGGCACGGTGCCTGGCGCCGTGGGGTGCACGCAGATGGGGTGTCGAGGTGTATCCCGCCTCCACCCTCACCTGGCTCCACCCTCACTCGCCAGGTGAATCGGCCAAACCATTTCGCTGTACTGGACTTCAGTTTCCTTGCCTGTCAAGGTGGCAAAATAACGACGCCTGTTCCACAGCGCTCTCGAGGGGGTCACATGTCTACACTCCCTAGCACGCTGCCTGGCATCCAGCAGGTGCTCAATAAATCTATTTCCCTTGGCAGGGTCTGGCAGTCTCCAGAAACCCCAGACACACACTCCAAAGCTTAGAATCTTTCGTGGAAGACGCAGAAAGACCCTTAGGTCTTGCTGCTAAATTCTGCACCCTCTCAGAGCCAGAAGAGCCCCGTTCACCCGGGGGCTGGCCAGCACGCACACCGCCAGCCCTCACTCTGGCTGCGCTGTGCAGGTCTCCGTCTCCAGAGGAGGGCGGCCCCCACCGCCCTGGACACAGGCCTGCACGGGGCAGGGAGTGTGGCCACTCCGCGAGCGTCGGCCCAGACTCCAGTCCCTCGTCACCGTTCCGTTATTTGACGCTGTCCCCTCCTTGGGGCACACTGACTCCTATTTTTCCTCCACAGAGACGTGACAGGGTCTGGGCTGTTTCAAACCAGATGCTGGAACAGGTGCCCTTGACCTCCTACTCACAGAGGGCCCGAGAACCTCAGCACCTGTTGGCTCCACATGGGGCCGGGTCCCGAGGGTCGGCCAGGAGCCGGCCCCAGGCTTCGTCCGTCAGTCCTCCAGCGTCCTAGGAGGCAGGTCCTGTCATCACCTCCACTTCCCAGATGGGAAGGCTGGTGGTCCCAGGCGCAGTTCTCAGGGTCACGCAGCTGGGAGGTCACGGTCTGGCCACCACCCACCCGGCCTGCCGCGTGCCATTCTCAGGGAGGCGGGCGGCCAAAACCCGCTTACCCAGTCCAACACACAAACCCAGGGCTTTGTGTCCCAAGCGCCTTCCGGGCTTCTCCCTCCACCCGGGACAAGCCGGAGCCTGAAGGGCCCGCAGCTGCCATCGGCCCGGCCCAGGGCAGACCCCCTTGACGCAAGAACCCCGGGGTGGAAGGCCTGCACATGCCAGCGCGTCACAAGCAGCACACAGCTGCTGCCAACCCTCACGTCTTCTCTGACGGCTCCCGCCGGGTGCAGAGAACAGAGCCCAGGAACTTCACTCTCCCAGAAGCGCCCACCCTGGGATCCAGGAGGAGCCTTGCTCTGTCTCCGTCTGCAGCGTGTGGCTTCAAAGGGGACGGGGGGCTGTCGGCTGTGGTGGTGGCAGACGACCTGATGCGTGATCGGCAGCAGGAAAGGTTGACTCTCTAGTCGTGCTCATTCTGTTCTCTGCTGGTCCTCTTTTGGGCGAGCCGGGAGCCTGGTCTTCACTTCAGGGGCCGGGGGTCAGGTACCCCCCCTCCAAGCCCTCCGGCCTCTGAGCTCAGATGCTTGAGAAGGTGCAGTCCCAAGAATGCCCACCAGGGGGCGGAGAACAGCCCCTCCAGGGAGAAAAAGCACCCAGTTCCTGAGATGGGGAGTCTGGCGGTTTCCTGGAAGCCCAAGAGAGTGGCATGCCCGCCTTTGTTTAGCCTTTCTCTCCCTGCCTTCCAGGGAAGTAATCTGAGCTTGAACAGATGGTAAAAGTCGGGAATCCGACCCTCCGGTCCAAGGCCTCGTCAGGTCAGCACGCACCCTGCAAACAGGTGCTCACGGCCTCAGCTCCCCGCCTCACTGGGAACAGTTTGGGAAGGCCTTGGGGTCGCTTTTGTTAGCACCGAAGACGCGTCACCCGCGGGAACACAAAACAAGGAGGATGCTACCCACGCAGCTGAGGCAAGAGCTGGTCTCCTTTGGCTACGCGCTGCCTCCTCCACAGCTGAGCCCTGTGGCCCGCCTCCACGGGCGACCCCAGAAAACCACGGGCAGAGAAAGCACTCCCGGGCTGCACGTGTCCCCCACCACTCTGTGTCACTCCGGCAGAGACGCTGGTGCCCAGAATATTCTTTCCGCCAAGAGCCGCACATCTGCCTTCGGAAAGCTGACTTGTCATCGTGGCAGGAGGGAGAGTGTTCCCCGGAACTCTGTCCTCGTCGCCCAGCCGATAGCCAAGGCAGGAACCAAAGCTGGAAGCGCTGCGGAGCTGCGGACGGACATCTGGAGACGGTAAAGGCGGCATTTGCTGGCAGGGAGCGAGTCCCGGAAGAAGCCAGAGAAGGCGGTGACGCCGAGTGCGTGTCTAGACAACCGCCCCAGAGTCGCACGGTGACCGATGGAGGTGCTGGGAGCAGACCGTCCACGTGGCTTTCCACGGGCTGCATGACGGGATGCTTTGAGGCGGTCCATGCTGTGATTTGAACACGTACAAGAACCTGTTTAAGAACCCGGAATTGGGGCCCTTGTGTGAGGACTGCATAGTAGTAGCTGGTAACTAGCATATTTCAAATGATTACATCTAAGGGACCGGAATCTCTTTTACATTACTTGGAAATGGTCACTCCCACCAGACACTGCCTTTTTTTTTGAGTTGGGATCTCATCTACTGCCCAGGCTGGAGTGCACTGGCACAAACGCAGCTCACCACAGCCTCAAATGCCTGGGTTCTAAGGAAACTTCTGCCTCAGCCTCCCAAATAGCTGGGACTACAGGTGTGTGCCACCATACTGACTATTTTGGGGGGGGTTTGTTTTGTTTTGTTTTGTTTGAGATGAGGTCTTTCTATGTTGCCCAGGCTGGTCTTGCACTCCTGGGCTCAAGCAATCCTCCTGCCCTGGCCTCTCAGAGTGCTGCGGTTACAGGCATGAGCCACTGCACCCAGCCTCAGTATCCTTTCCATGACATTAAGTTCTCTGAGGGCAGGAGCAGCTGTGTCTCTAGGGGTTGCCTAGCACGTAGTAGGTGCTCAATGAATGTTTGTTGAATGACTGAACTTACAGAGCTTAGCGAATATTCTTCTATAGACCACACAATGTTTTTATACTTTCCCTGTGGTGGAATCTTGTCGAAGTGAGTGATACCTGAGTGCACGCCTCTTCTCCTGGCCCCCTCAATCTTACGTTCTCAACTAGAGAGCTGGGTGGAAGCTGGGAGACAGGAGAATGGGTTTGGTGTCAGCCTCAGTCTGGTTTTTAGACCTGGGAGGAACGTGTAATCCCTGGAGCCTAATGTATTTCCTAAACTTGTAAAACAAAGATTTAACTAACAGTCTGAATCAACAGGGGTTCTTTTTTTTTTTTGAGTCAGAGTCTCACTCTCTGTCGCCCAGGCTGGAGTGTGGTGGCATGCTCACAGCCACCACCGCCTCGACCTGCGGGGCTCAAGTGATCCTTCTGCTTCAGCCTTCCAAGTAACTGGAATCCCAGGTGGGCGCCACCATGCCCTGCTAATGCTTTGATTGATTGTAGAGCTGTGGTCTCGCCAAGTTGCCCGGGCGGGTCTCGAATCCTTAGACTCAAGCAGTCCTCTTGCCTCCGCCTCCCAAAGCGCTAGGATGACAGGCATGAGCCCCGGTGCTCGGCTTCCATTTTCCTCCTTGAGGCTAGAGCCATCTGTCACACACAAGAAATTCTTGGCGGTGAGGCAGGTCTACACAGCAGGAAGCCGATCTGCTCAGGCTGAAGGGCTCCCCGCCGCCCCGCCCCGCAGGGTGCCTTGCAGGGACCCCTGGCCTTCAAGGCCCCGGCGCCCAGCTCCTCCGGCTCTGCCATCAGGCCCGCTGCCCACTCTCGTCTGGGAGCAGCTCAGGGATCCCGGAGGCCGTGCGCTTTCCCAAGTCTCGGCCCCGTCGGGAAGCCCCGGGCAAGCGGGGACCCTTCGCCGTCTCTCCGCGACCTCTGGACCCAACCATGCCGCATGGGCCGTCCCGTCTCCTTCAGTGCGTTTGAGGAGCCACGTGCTATTATCCGCGCCCAGACTATGTTACCCTCTTTTGCAAGTGCTTCGATGTGTTGCTCAAATCACTGTTTTTTGAGACAGGGTCTCACTCTGTTGCCCAGGCTGGATGCAGTGGCTCAACTGACGCTCACTGCAGCCTTGGCCTCCCGGGCTCAAAGGCTGCTCCCATCTTAGCCTCCTGCGTGGCTGGGACTATAAGCATGGGCCACCACACTTGGCTAGGTTTTTTTTTCCAGCGATGAGGTCTTGCTGTGTTGCCAGGCTTGCACTCCTGACATCAAACGATTCTCCTACCTCAGCCTCCCAAAGCGTTGGGCTCACAGGTGTGCGCCACTGCACCCGGCTGTACTGCTCAAATTCTTGCCCTTGGCTTCCAGTGAGCAAGGAGGAGGTCTAAAAGAGATTATCCATCTTCCAGACCGGACACTAAGCCCTCATGAAATCCAGTCCAGGCTTCCTGCTTGTGCCCAGGTCGGACTGGCTGGAGCACAGCAAGGAACCCCACGGGGTGGGACCAGCGTATCCCACATTCAGTCATTCATTTAACACATACTTACAGAGCTCCAACGAGTGTCCACCGCTTGGGGTCTCCACGGCCAGCAGGGCCGGCCTGTGGTTCTGGCTTCCTTCTTCTGAGGCCACTCAGTGGAAGATGGAGCAGAGAAAAGGAGGTGAACCCCTGGCTCTCTGTCGTCCTCTTCTCCTCACGTGGAATCTGGGCAGCCTCAGGGCTCAGTATCTCTCTAGATACCAGGTTTACTATTCATTTTTTACATTATAGAAGAGGTTTCTGGTGAGTGGATTGCCTGAGCCCGCGGGTTCAAAACCCGCCTGGGCAGCAAGACCTCAAAAATTAGCCAGGCGTGGTAGCTCACGCCTGTAGTTCCGGCTACACGAGAGGCTGAGGCGGGAGGATC